TCTACAACATTTTATCAATGTGTTCTCTTCAGAGTTTTGACTCTTTCTCCTTTTTCTAAATCGCATTATTAACATCCCTGACATTTTAGAAATAATGTTTATTGATTTTTCTGTTAACACTGCTATAAATTAAGTGATGTAATGGACAGGATTATTGAGGTACTATAAGGAATATGTCCTCCAGATTCCTAACTCCTGGTTGAAAAAGACTCTGGATTAACTCAGAAATAGGTGCAGTTCTGTGCTGTGATTTCCCTAACTTAGGTTTGGTTGAATACTTTTGATATGACAGAAAGGACATATTAAAACTACCTGCTAAGTATCAAATGACAGAAGAAAAACACCTTGTTTAGATGAAACTGAGGGATGAATGGTTGAGAAAAAACAGATGCAGAATTCCTGATCACTCACTCTTCAGGAACATAGGATACAGTCAGTACCAGAATGGTCTGAGTTACTTTATCTGCAGCAACAGCAAACGGCTAAACCAAGAAAATACTAATTTATTGCTGGCAAATCCAGAACCAAGGTGTCACACACGGAATGTGTCCCCTCCCACAGCTGGGAGCACTGGGGTAGCAGAAGCAATTGCATCTGAAGAGCGTTGGTTAAAAAGGAGGGGGAGCCATGTATGGACACATGCTCCACAACTTCCAGAGTCCCGTGCAATCCTGACTCACAGATTAATTTTTAAGACTATTTCTGCAGGCTCTTCAAGTCACCAACTTTTGTTCTTGTTTTATGGGGTAGTTTTTCAACCCTTGAGCCTCCTGCAGTAATGCAATTCGATTTCTATCCTTGGATGTTTGGTTTTACGTTCCATCATCACTAAGCATTGATTAAGCCCTAGCACAATACTTGATTGTGTTTACGACTTTGTTTCCTCAGGGGAAGGTCAGGCTTTATGACAACATCACTCTGTTAAAAACAAAATTGTTGGTGATGCTACTGACTGTGATCAGCTTCATTCGTCAGCTTGCAAAATTCTCTTGCTAGTTTGCTTCCCCACAGAAAAAAATTATTGTAAGGCATGGATCAGCAGAAGTAACAAAAATCAAAAACGGACTTGGGCACCTGTGTTCATAGAATTAATTACATTAATACTCAACTTCATCGTAGTCTTAGAAACATATTTGTCAGAGCTTTGTCTCTCCCCCTGTTGAAGTCCTTCTGTTTTGTCTACACTTTTATAAATATCCATCAGGGCAAAAAAATTATGAAGAATCAGTAGTGTCTTTACCCATTTTCTTTCCAATCCCTTATTCCACTATGAGAGAACTACTGAGAAATCAGTGGGTCTCAGTTTACCCTCCTAACAGGTGTATCCATCAATCCAGCATCATTCCACACTCTGAAAATACCTGGATGTGAAAGCTACACCAGTGTCCTGGATCTTGATGAAGGCACTTCAAAAAAGGTGTGGAGCCCTCAGCCCCAGCAGGATGAAAATTCGTGCCCTGACAATGCCTATCCCACACCCATCCTAATAAAAAAAGCCTTTCAGGTTGCATTTCCAACTCCACACATATGGCCCAACCAAGGCCACACACAGCCTGAATTCCTGGCTACAATCACAGAGTCACTCTCTGCTGCTTCACATCTCCCACTCATCTTCAGAGATGTTCCCAAAATGATAAAAGGTCAATTATGCAGCCTCTGCAGATAAACTCAATATTACTTATCCATTTTTTTTTTAATTCCTGGTTCTTACACCACACACTACCATGTGACAAAGTATGTTCACCTTCTCATTTGGGGAGATTTCTGCCAATTTGTCTCATTTCTGTTCTCCATTCTGCTCTTTTTCTTTTCCTTGAACTTTTTTCCTGTTCTTGTGAGGTTTTATTCTCTCAGTTTTCCCTCACCTTTAAACATTTGACTGTGGCACTTTTGGGCTGCTGCCTTCCTAGCTGGGACATCACACCTGCTATTTCTTACACTTATTACACACAGAAGGCCCAGTAAGTTTTATCTGTTTAGGCAGTCCCACTATGTATTTCTGTATAACTAATATCTTATAAATAACGAATATAACTAATATAATAACTAATATAATATAACTAATATATAATATAACTAATAATAACTAATATTCTACATCATACATATAATGCATGTTTATAGGGTATTTAAATTACTACTAAAAATAAATAACACTAAAAAGCACCCACCAAGTTACAAGTACACAATTCAGGAGATGGGGCTGCAATATCTGTAATTCCACTTCTGAATCCTCCTAAAAAGAAGCTGAAAATCACGGTTGGCAACATTTCTGGAAGGCAACAGTAATCCATAAATACTCCTTAATTTTCCTGTCATTGCAGAATTAAGCCACTTCCAGCTCACACAGATCTTACCAGGTGTGCTAAATTGATGTCATTATAAGTCATCAGGAAATACCCACAGAGACCTGTAGCAACATTTGGAAGTTTTGTTAAACAGCTGTGTGCTCTAATTGATTTGTATTATTTAAAACAGCTAAAGCAAGTTATCGCCGGATGTGGAGAAGGGATGACTGAAGACCCCAGGGAGATTTAACTCACAAGAAAGCCAATCACAGGAACTTCATTTGAGCATTTTAAGATTATTACTAGAGGAAGTGCAATTAAATCATCACCATTTATCAATTATCATTATAAAATACTATGCAACCTTATCATGTTAATTTATTTATGAGAAGGTAACTAGTTGACTTCTGCTTTCTGCAGTAATCTAGTCAGGAAAAATATTTCAAGATGCTTTCTCTGGAAATGAGCATAACTTTCCACCGTAATCAAAAGTAACTATAAAAGCACAAATTTTACCTAAAATTTGAAAATGTCAAATATCTCCACTCTTTGCAGCTCGTCTCAATTCCTGAGATGTATTTTATTATAGATGCATTCTATCACAGAGAGAATATAAGAAAAAACAGTTGTATCAGAAATGTGCACAGGCCTGGCACTCTCCTTTCATGAAATAAATGGGAAAAAAGTCCCAAAAAGTCAGTAAGCACTTCTTTTCTTGCTCTGCCAATCACAATGCAGATCAGCCCTAGTTAAAAGTGAAGTAACATGCATGGACCCTTTGCAAACTCAATTTTTCTTCCCAGTGGTGGAGTGCTTGCAGCATCTAAAATTTGTATCTCTCTTGGATTAAAATCCTAAACCTTTTTACTCTGCTGCTCATGTGTACTGAGTGCTCAAGCCTGATTTGATGAGTTTGCCCAGTGACTTGCATTATAGGATCTGTGTCCCTGCAGGCAAAGCCTAACCCACATAACAAAATGGGTCAGCAGAAAAGCAGCAAGGCAAGACAAAACTCCGTATTTCAGTTCAGAATCCCGATTCATTTGATGGAGAAAAACAGTTTTTTTCTTGTAGACCTGACTCTTGCTTTGATCTGAGGCTTGCAGGCTAGTTTTCATTATCTTCCATAATCTTATTTAACAGAAAGTCACATTTTGCAGCTGTTAACTCTGCTAATTTCTCCAAAATGTTCTTTCTGTGTTTGTCACTGCTCTCACAGTTGGCTGTACCACCTCTGGAAGGTGTCTCAGAATCAGATTCATCACTCCACACATTTTGCCACCCAAAACTCCTGTTTCTGCAGGAATTTGTATGTATGTATCCCACACTTATTTCCAGGTATTAGATGCAGGATAGTTCTTCCTTTACTGTCCCTTAAGAAGCAAAAATAATCCCCATGTGGGAGTGACCTGATTTTCCTTTTGGCTTCCACAACTCTGATTTCACACATTCCAAACATCCCGTTTATGCTTTATTCTCAGTAGTGTCGCATTATTAAATTATGTTATTAAAACCCAGTTTCCTCATCTTCCTTCACAGACAAGCCAGGTAATTAATGCTTCATGTGAAAAGTGTGTACTGTAAGAACCTGCCAGCTCACAACTGGAACTCAGACATGCACAGCAATCACCAGAACACCCATGGCTTGGTAGGTTCTCAGGAAGCTGTTGTAAGATAAATAATAGTCTGTGGCTGCAAAAGCAAGAATGCTGCTTGTGTTCCCATGGCTGAGCACCACCTAACAGGCATCCTGTAATTAAACTGTGTTATTTGAATTAAGGGAGCACCTGTAGGACCTGGTGGATGTTACACCCTTGTCATGCTGCTGTGGAGAGAGACCTGAGTGCCTGGAAACAGCTAAAATCAAAATAGAAGGGGAAAAAAAAGGAAAGGGAAAGGGAAAGGGAAAGGAAAAGGAAAAGGAAAAGGGAAAGGGAAAGGGAAAGGGAAAGGGAAAGGAAAAGGAAAAGGAAAAGGAAAAGGAAAAGGAAAAGGAAAAGGAAAAGGAAAAGGAAA